ACTTCAAGCAAACTGAAAATGTCCATGAAACAGAACTCATCCAAAGTACATAAGAACATTCTATCTTTTCAGTACAGTTTCATAGGCTTACTATATGCAAAGTTAAAGCTGTTGCTTTACCTGACATAATATCATCTTAAACTCAAACTGCTCAAATGAGAACAATACCCTTGGGATACCAATCAAAGAGATTACAAGTTTTTTAAAGGCTATTTTGCAGGAGAGGGAATAAACTTTGTTTAACAGCATGCCTGACAATTTAAAATTATTAATAAGTACTACAGTGAAGTATTCAAGGCAAACATTCAATTACTGGCTATTCTAGATTGGTTCCAGAATAATTATCATCAATAGCTTACAGACAATTTCTGTGACACTTCAGAGTTTTGGAACATTGGGTCAGTTGACAGAATAATAAAAGAATAACAACCAAAGAGAATCTACTTTGACTTAATATGCTACGTAGAGCATAACAGGGACGAGAGTTAAAACCTCTTAGATATAGTTACATATACTTCAATAAATTTCATTAACTAATACAGTAACAAATCATGTGTGGGCTATTTGCTTTTCTTTCTGTTTTCACTGTGACAGTTTTTTAATTCAGAGAATTTAATAGTATGTTATTTCCAATTTACAATCTGATCAAAAAGTTCTCTTTTTAAAAAAAAGCAAGCATTTTTATGTCAGCTCCTCGAATATATAAAAACTAAAAACTCAGCAACTATACAGATGTTTCAAAGATTTCAGAGGATAAAAATATAAAAAGGTAAACATGTAGCCCTTTGTTTTCTAAAAAGTAAAGTCCTCTAGAAAGGTTTTTTTAAAATAAAAGTAAATAATTTAATCATTCTTGAATGGCTCTGAGATGTGTCCTGGAAAACAAAATTCTATCTAAAATCTGTGTACTTCTTAAGAAAGGCTGCATATTCCTACAAACAACAAAATAATAGAGACCTTTTAAGTCTCACTAATCTGATAAAGTAAAAAATGCACTGCAGTTTAACTTAGTAAATACATGCCCTAGTAAAGATCAGCACAAAGTAAAACATCTTAAAGGTTCTGCCTTCTCTGCAAATGTACGCAGGATGATAACTGTCAGCTGAACAGAAGCAGTGATTTCATCCACTGGTTTGGATTTGCTTCTGAGAAACACAACATGAACTACTGAATCATTTCTTTTCAAATCCATGCATTCTCTGCGGCAGTTCCAGCTTCATCAGCAGTGCAGGAATGTATAAAATGACAGGCAAAGGGCATTAGTTTCCTTTTTTCCTCCCATACTAATGGAAGGTAAGACTCTTTCTCAAACCATTGAAGTTGAGGCTGTTTAAGTCTGTGTTAAAAAGAAAATATAACTGGGTTCCCCACATAAGGAAGTTTCACAATTAGGTTATTTACTATATTTCAAGGCAATTTTGAGCAAATTGAGTCCTGTAGTGTCTTAGACTAGAATATCATAAGGTTAGCTTTCTAGCACAATTGCCCGTTATTCTTCAATTGTTAAGTATTTTCACGTTTTAAGTGCTCTGTACATTCAGTGACATATTTTAGCACCATTTTGAGTCCTTACTTATGAATAAAATTTGAAATATAAAAATTTGATTCTTTTGAAAATATATTTACGTTTTAAATTTTCATGTCTTTGTACTCATAAGGGCCTCAGCGAAAGAAAAATAAATTAATAATTCAAAGTTCATTTAATCATAATCAAGTAAAAACAATATAGTTAGTAATCTGGCTCCTTATCTGGACCTTAAACAATTCACCTTTCTTTAAAAAAACAAAAAACAAAAAACAACAAAAACAAAGCAGAACAGCTCTTGCTGTACCCTGGCTCCACTTGGAAAAGAAACTGGGCAGTTTTTAGACTAAAGCTTTAACTATGCACACGCTTTATACAACTAAAAACATGCCCACCTCACATCATCATTCACATTTCTGTAAAACTTCCTAGTGTGCTGGAGGAGAAGGGAAAGACCAGGGGAGTCTGAGGGCTCTAGGCTGCCCAAAATCCAAAACAAAAAACTTCCAATCTCTCCCTGATGATGTCTGCCTTCCCTTTTTAGGAAGGAACGCATCCCAAAGCCACCGCTCCGGGCAGGAGCACGCTGATGTTGGCACAGCCTACACCAAACAAACAAGATGTTAAACAGTCAAATAAAATGTCCCGCAGCCTCCCTAATGAATTTGTCAAGGACCATCAGATTCCGCGCCCCCTCCTTTGCCTCATTAACTCAAGTATGATGAGACGGATTATAACAAGAGAATACAGATCAATCGGTCTGCAGACTTGAAGTGGCTTTTAGCCTCTACAGTTTCTTTCTCTCACTTGGTCTCCTTTAACAGAGCACGGTATCCGCCGCAGAAGGCGCTCCCACTTCGTTTTAATACACCATCAAGGAGCTGCTGATGGACTTCTACACTAACATACATAAAAGCGGAGGTGACAGGGGCTCTTCAATTACAGCCTCCGCGGATACCGTTTCCCCTTCAATTATTCCACCAGAGGAAAAGAGGCGCGGCAAACGCAGCTGAAGCTGCTCCCGGGCGGAGGCAGCCCAGGGAGAGGTGGCGGGAGGGGCGAGCATTATTTGCTGGAAGTGTTTAAGTTTATTGCTCGAATGATGTTTCTAATTAGTACCGCGGCAATAAATTAAAGTCGCCTTTGTTTAGCTGATTTATTATTTACTAGAGCATCTAACTTAGACAGAGTAAATTGGTAATGAATTGTTTTTAAATCAAAACATTTGTAACGTTTTATCATCTTTCAGCCTTACGCTAACGTGGAGAAATGCGGGGATCGGGGCGTCCCCGGCGGCAGCGCCGAGGAGCGAGGTGTCCAGAGCGTGCGAGAAGCCCCGGCTGTTTGCAAACACTCTCCGGCGCGGCTCGGGCCACGGCTCTGGCAAAGCAGAGGCGACGAAGATGCCGCCACTGAGAGGATGGGGTCTGCTCAGCCCCTCCAGCCTGGCCACCAGTCTCCGCCCAAAACCTGCCCGGGAAGGGCTGCTCTGGGCCCTCTCCAGCTGGTCCCCCAACACCCCGTGGAACAGTGCCCCTCCTGCCCCAGCCGCCTCCCCCAGAGCACCAGTGTGACCCGGCGGGGAAGAGCGAGTCAGCCGCGGAGAGGAGCGTGGCTGCCCCACGCGCAAACCCGCGGGCGCCGCCGCCCAAGTCCCGCCACTCAGAGAGGGCACTGAGGCGCTTCTGAGTTCGAGGTCCGCATAGCTTACTTACAATTGTTCTTCCCAGGTCCTCCTCACTAAAGATAGGTCGTAAGCAATGAATCCGGCTTGATTATGAAAAGAAAAAAACCCGCACATATTCTTTAGCAGTAGGGACTTTGACCAGGAGAGGAGTGACAAGCCGCCAGCGGTCCGCAGGGAGAGTAAGGAAGGACCGAGAGCTCCAGGTGTTTGACACCAAGAAGATGGAGAGAAATTAACTTTCCCTATGAAATTGAATTCAGGTTCACTCGGGAGGGGTTTAAGAGAGCAAAACAAGCACTTCTGAGGGGTTCTGTAAAAGCCACCCTGTCGGGATGTGCAGAAAGAAGGCTCTGCCTAAATGGCTTCATAGATTTTTTACTTTTACTACACAACCCAAGTTTGGTATATTATATCCCAAATCAAACGAAAACATACCCCTCTACTTGAACGTCTTAAAACGACTCAGAATCCACACACCTCAGGTTCAAAGATCAAGTCTCCATAGTAAGCAAATCAGAAACAATGTTATAGCTTTGTCTCCTCCAAAAGTTCTGTAAGGCTACTGCAGGTAAAGCCCGTTAGGGATAACACATACATACATTAATAAAGGCACATGCATGTGTTCCACTGAAATGCCAAAGCAGTGAAACAACCTGTGTAATCAATAACAGGATAGTGACGGATTTTTGTAGCAATGAAGTTTTTTAGAAGCAAGAGCCAATTATGAAAATAAAGTCATTTTACAAATGAAACTGTCCTGTCTGACAGTATGGTCAAAATTAAACTAACATTAACATATTAAGAAAACTTTAATTCAGGCTCACATTCACTTCCCTCCATTATTCACTTAGTTTAGCACAATTTTACAAGGTTATTTTAACTTACAAGTATATCCTGCCAAATTCCACCATATAAATTCACACTATTTCTCTGCATACACATACTTTCTCTCTGGTAACTGGTGAGTTCTTGTAACGATAAAATAATGACATTAACTATATTTGAATTTAATTATGAAATAGTTATCAAAAATGTGCTTGGACTAGTTATTGTCCTGCCCCGTGTTTTCAACAGCATATGGAAATTACTGACAATGGATTTATGGCTATAAACCCTCAGCCTACGTCCACCCCCACACGCTGGTGCACACACAGCAACTGCTCTGGCTCTCAGCGACAAAGGGAGGGAGAAGACAAGGGAGGAGGATAGTACTAGAGGAAAAGACCTACGAAAATTAGGTCCCTTCCCAAGTTCCCCTTCCTCCGCCCATATGCCTTCAGGCCAAAGTAATTTTGTTAGACTTTGCACCTTCTCCTGCACAATATTGAGAGAATTTTCTTTAAAAAGTGAACCTTTGTGAACCACTGCTACTCTCCCTCACGTGACTCCGGCCATTGCCAGGAGAACCCTTCTTCTCTTCTGTGCAACCGAAAGAGAGAGGGGAAGAGGGGGCTGCAGAAAGTGTGCGAGCATTTGACTTCTGCTATCTCCTCCTATCTTCTTACTTCTCTCTTTACCCCCTTCCTTTATCAAGAGGCTGCTACCGTTCGCCAAGCGTGCCTGTCTTCTCTCTCGGATTGGCCAGAGCACTGACAGCTCGGATGGGGATTGTAGGAACTGAAGCTCCACCCCCTCATGATGGCCCTGGGGCCATTCATAAACTAAATAACTCCAGGAAACAG